AGAGAGAGAGAGAGAGAGAGAGAGACTGGCAGACAGACAGACAGACAGACTGACTGATTGACGGACAGACAGACAGACTGAAAGGCATGGAAACTCCAGGAAAGGCACGCAGAGAGAGAGTTCAACTCGTTTTTTTTATAATATGTTATATATCAGGAAATGACGTGACGTTCATTTCAAAATCGCATAGAATTCGCATTAGACTCTGCCCAGACGAAAAAAACCCAGCAACTTCAGGTACATCTGTTCGCAGCTATTGCGCAAATTCTGCCAAACAGTATTGTCGGAAATGTGGCGTAAATATGCACCCAACGTTATGCTTGTCTCTCAAATGCTTTTGACAATGACAATGACAGTCTTTATTCATCTCGCAGGGAGACATTTACCTTTGTCGTTTACAATGGCAGTAGACGTTATAAAGCTTAGGTGTATGCACGCATATGCACAACAAGACAGGACTTTTGTAAATACATGACTCGCGTGCTGAAACAATCTGTTTTCTCTCTTTTTCTCCCTCTCTCTCTCTCTCTCTCTCTCTCTCTCTCTCTCTCTCTCTCTCTCTCTCTCTCTCTCATATTTATAGCATCGTGTGTTCAGTAACCTCACTGCAGTTAGTACGAATGAATTTCTATATCTATCTGTTCTTCCATTTTTGGAAATCTATCGTTTACTGCGGGTCGATAATTGAAGTTTTGTTGTCAGTGGGTGGCTATGGTCACTAATGTTTTTTAGAACGTTTGCTTGTGCAGATATTCAAAGTTACTTAGGTCTCTACCAGTTGTTCTTGATGCCTTTCTGATCAACTTGTTTATATTTATGATGTGCTGTCTTCCCAAATTGCTACCATAGCAAGAGATAACAAAATGTATCAAAGTTTCTATTGTGATGGTGTAGAATATTCTGAAGGGTGGATGGATTCAGACTGAAAGACCTAAGTTTCCTCAGAAAGTACAGCCTCTGATTTACCTTTTTAACGATATTGTTTACGTGGTTTTGCCATGTAAATTTGTTGTCGATAGTAAGAACCAGATATTTGTATGAATCTGTGATTTCAATTGTTTCTTGTTCAATTACGAATAGTGGGATTGTTTTGCGTAGCCTACCTAGTGCTTTTGCCATGCCTGTCTTGTATGCTTCTGATTTTGCATGATAGTTCTGACAGAATACTAATAAATATATACAAGTTAATATAGTATATGCGCTTATAATCGTATGCTT